CCATTTTAGTAGCACACTGTCTACGGCAGGGCTGTTCAACTAGGTTTACTCTGAGGTCAACATTTTGAAAATAGGGATTGTCACGGGCCAGATGCTAGAGCATAGAAAGTTTATTAATACATTACAATTGGTAATGATCCGCGTGCCAATTGTTACTCTACCGCCGTCCAGATTTGGCCTGAAGGGCGTCAGTTGGAAAGTTCTGGTCTACAGTGTTCGGATACATGCTGAACAATTTCGGGTGTCAGATTGCTGGAACATATTTCCATGTTTCCGATGCCGAAAAAAACGTGTACATTTGTTAGCGAAGTGTGTTGTGTCCTGTCCTTAATCTGAATGTGATACACTGACCCTCTCTTGACGGGGGATTAGTCCTCGGGTGAACATTTGGTGTGGGCATCCAGTCAGCTGTCTTGGATACTGGATTTTATTGTCATAGTCTCCAAATGCAGTGTTTCCCAAACTTGTCTTAATCGCGGCGCCTTTTTTACTTGAAGTGTAGCCAATTCACCCATAAGGCTTTTGAACTATTTTACAATAGAAAGATTCTCATAATACAACGGACAAAACAAACAAACAAACAAAAACTGAAAAAAAAAAATACTGAGATCATAAAATATCTCAACATCCAGGAAGACTGACACGTAAACAGTGTCTTTCTCGAACACTGAAGTATTTTGACCATATCAAGCGCCAATGTGGAAAGGAAATGACAGTAACGGAAGGCATAGGGCCAGGAAAGAGGCACAGGGGCAGAGTATCACGAAATGGGCATAGGATGTAAGAGAAACCTTAAGTGCATGAGCTGGGAGAGCTAGCGAGATATCTTTCTCTAGGCAGGCTGCAGTGAGAGAGAGAATTTATGTGTAGGACCTGCTAACCACGATGAAAAATTTAAAAAACATAAATAGTTACGTCGTAAAGATACTGAGCTAAGCGCATGGAGCGACACTGTAAGCTTTGGATTTCATATGGAATGCTTTTCGACTGTGCCCAGCGTGGTTTGTTTATGAACGGCAGATTCGGAAAAATGGCGAGTTGCGTGTTGCCAGAGAACCGGTGGTACCTTATGCGATTAATTGCGTGCGCGAATACTAATTTGTTGTAATTGCTGCTTCCATTGACAATGAACTGCATTTCTAGTGACGGACTGTTGGCGTTGGTACATCTGAAGGCTTTTCTTTATGCACGTAAAGCATGTGTAGGCTATTGGCTTTGCCGAGACTGCCGTCTGCTCAATCAGCGACAGACATTCTGTATGGTTTTTAACTGGCACAGGAACGGAACAACTTAAGGGTGACCCGTTTGACATGAAGTTGGATTTTATAAATGCGATTACCTAAAGAGGAGCGGCTGACCAAACAGGAGACGAGGTTCGAATCCTCGGTAAGGTTAGGAATGGTTTCTGTCGGGAGCAAAATAAAATACCGCACCTGCACAGTCGCGGCTCTAAACCTCAGGCTCAAAAGCCCCACCCACCCCCTCCCAACCATAGAAGTGGTATACAAAGGCAGTCATTTGCAGGTTACTTTTGTTGTTGAGGGGGGGGGGGGGGGCAGATTGCCTAAAACATAAAATTCCCTTTGCACGATGTAAATGGCCATGTTTCTAACGTGGCTATTTGCGCGTGATTTTATTTTAACGTTCATAAAATAAATCGCTTCCTGCACAGAGTAAGGCGAACCCGGCATGCCTGCCCTAGATATCAGGCTTTACTCCTGCTACGACAGATCGATAATTCCCCTGGAATCTTTCACGAATCCCCGAGCCCACCCGAAACGACTCATTTCCAATCGTTTTAATGTTTGTGCATTCAGATATCTGAATTTTTTTAACAAAACCTGCCTCCGGTAACTATAGCAAAATATCAGCTAAGATACAAACAGTGGAAAATGTAAGCAGAAATATATTTTTAAAGAAGTTGCAGGACGCAAAAGAAATACACACGCCTAAAGCATGTGAATAAATGAAGGGGCAAATTGTTTTAAAAGAAAATGGCGGATTACGCGCGTGTTGCCCGTTGGCCTAGCCAGTTATTTCCAGTTGTGCCTTGCTTGGTACACACTGGACGTCGGAGCGTGCAGGGAAAAGAGGTCACACAGGCTGTCATTTCATTCTTTCGCTGCCTTTTCTAGTCATTTGCTTAACTTGTGTTTTTTTTTTAAAAACTTAATACATAGTTTATTTTTCCAGTAAGTGAATACCATAGCAATGTTTTGTTACCAGCTAAGCGTGTAATTCATTAACGAGAAATGGGAATTATAAATTTCGGTGGTTCGTTCGTTGTGTATATAATATAACTATAACTATATATTATATGTATATATAAGATTTAGTTTCAAACTAACTAGTAACACATTTTTTAAAAAGGTGCTGTTGAATACACATACATACAATTTGCCACTGTTTTAGGTATATTCTGTTCTGATTTTAATGTTTTCTCATCAGTATTATAGTAGAAATTTTGAGAAAATATTTCCATGTATATTATATTCTGTAGGAGTGATTTTTATTTTGTTTTCCAATAATTCTAGTTCTGAATTTTTAGAAATGCTCAGTTCTGCTTTTGTTACGTTCAGAAGTGGCTAATTTTGAACATCTTTTGAGTGGATACTAGAAAGATTTTCTTGATTTCTTCGTCCCATTATCTTGTTGTAACGTCTTTTATGTTAAATCAGGAATTTATGAAGCCTAAATTGTGAAGGAACTAGGATTCGTCGTTAATCTCTTCGACATTCCTACCGTTTTTCATATAGTCCCTGGATGATTTTTATTATTATTTAACAACAAAAATAAGACATACAATACGATATGGCTGATACAAGGATTACTTCTGATTACGAGGTAGGTTGACTTTGTTTGTTGTTTGGATTATTTAATTGTTTTACATTACAGTTAATGCTAAACAGAAACACGCCGTGGCGGTTGAGTAGTCTGTTTATTTCAATTTTGTATCATTAATTTATTATTTATTTACATTAAAAAAAAAAGAAAAAAAACACAGGCGGGCATGCAATGGATGTGGAATGCTTACTTATAGTATTATTATTATTGATAACTGTCATAACATATGCAGGCTTTTTTTTTTCTATGTATATAAATAGAAGGTGCTAGTATTCACTACAGTTACAGTGCTTGAAGAAGACGTCGTTACTCACTACAAAGTTTAGTACAGAAGTGATGAAAAAATAATGCCTTTAAAAGGTGCTCAAGAAAATACCTCTGCTTAATTCAGTGATTCACTTTTAACATAAACAAAAGCTTCCTACCAGCAGTGATGTATTATTGTGATGCATCACACAGCTTTGTCTAAAAAAAAGAAGACCAAGTAGATAGAGTACACATGGCTCAGATTACGAGCATCACACAGCTTGCTCTAGTATAAGAAGACCAAGTAGATAGAGTACACATGGCTCAGATTATGAGCATCACACAGCTTTGTCTATAAGAAGACCAAGTAGACAGAGTACACATGGCTCAGATTACGAGCATCACACAGCTTGGTCTATGAAAAGACCAAGTAGATAGAGTACACATGACAGATTATAAGCACTACACAGCTTAGTCTATAAGAAAACCAAGTAGATAGATAGAGTTCACATGACTCAGATTATGAGCACCACGCAGCTTGGTCTATGAGAAGACCAATTAGAGTACACATGACTCAGATTATGAGCACCACACAGCTTGGTTTATGGTCACTTCCGGTTAAAATGGATGCTAGACAGCGGCGCTGTTCGAAGCAGAGGCAAATTTTTTGCTTCTGCTGGGCGGTGGCCGAAGTAATTTTGCTCCATTTGTAGACTGGATATAGTTTTGTTGCCCAGCTTCTGAGTTGAATGCATGGTGTGACCCTGTGAGCTGCGGATTGCATTTGGAATGTATTTTCAACTGTGACCAACGTGGTGGTGTGAATTGTAGATTCAGAAAATGGCGTGATGCCTGTCGTGCAATGTTGGCGGTGCCTGTATCTGGTTAAAATTGATCGCGTGGACAACTGCTGAACTGTTGGTGACAAGTTCTGCTATCACCAATGACAATGATGAACTGCATTTCTAATTTGTCACTGTTTGTGTTAGCACTTCGGATGGCTACCGTATGCTTTAATGCGAGTGTATGCTAGATATGCTGAGACAGCAGTCTGTCAATCTTTCCACAAGGGACTGTGATAAACATTCCGGGTGTTTTTCGTTGGCACAGGAGCGGAGCAAAGATGGGGGCGACCCGTTGAAACTAAGACTACCAGACTACCATTGGTTTATGAGAAGACCAGATAGATAGAATACACATGACTCAGATTATGAGCACCACACAGCTTGGTCTATAAAACTAAGTAGATGGAGTAGACCTGACTCAGATTACGAGTTATGTAAAGGAAACTTTGGATAATGTGATTATTGTCTGCTTTCTCCATGTATTGGGTCCGGATGAAGCCAGACTTTTAAAATAAAAAATCACTTGGCTCCCAAATTGACCCAGCCTTAAATGAGTATCAGGTAAGTTCTTAGAAGTAAAGGTAGCCGACGTGATGTTGACTGCATTAAACATCCACCGCCAAGTGGTCTATAAAAATATAGGTCTAGCTCTCTATGCCCAGTACACCTGAAGGTGTGCAAAATGGGTCCTTTATCTCTATATACGCATTTTGTACCAAGGAAACAGCGGCACTTTCACAATTACAGATATCTGTTTTAGGCTCCGAATGAGCACATAATTATCCAGAAAATTGTTTGGTATATTCTTCTGTGTTCACCTTAAAAGAGTGGTTGGCATTTTGTGTTGTTGTTTACAGCTAGGCTGTGATATTTACAGAAATTTCTTTCAGAAATATCTGATTTGGCAAACCCTTAATTAGTCACCTTTTGTAAGATGCTCGTTAAGGACTATTGGGTCTGTTCTTTTTCTCCCATAATAGGATCCCGGTGACTTCAGCGTATGATGATCTAGTTGTAGCTGTTATGGATTAGGAAGCTGAGTATAGAAATGTTGTAATATTTCAGGAAGCAACAAAATGCTTAAGGACCCACACGACTGACCTGGCAGAGATGCGTGCTATGATGACCCGACTGGAGAAGGAGGGGAAGCTAGATATGTTGTTTGTTATGATGAACACCTTTTTAAGACGTGGTGGTATTCAGGTGAGGCATTTTACTGATAGATTTATCAATAATGTATATTGTGCTTCTAAAAATTTGGTGATTTAATGGTATTTCGTTTCCTAATGAGAGTAGCTTTGTTGTCCAGGTATAAGTTGAATGTTTTGATGATGTTTTTTTAAAGAGATGCTATGTAGGTTTTTCTGACCTTTGCAAAAATAACACATTTGTTATATTTCTGTCTCTCTGAGTGCATCAGAATCTGCTTGTTAGATGGGAAAATATGGTTGAAGTTATTGTTGTCTCAGCTGCATATTGTTCAGGGCTGGAAAATTATGAGTTTTCTTGGTTTATCATTCAGTGTTGTCATTTGCTTTTGATTACGGAACTTTAGTGGAGGTCTTGTCACTACCTCTAACTAATATACAGTCGGATACAAGTCTTCTATAATCTTTATAGGGCATTTGAAATATCAGATTGGAGTTGTATGCCTTTGGAGGATGATACTTGGAGTTACCACCCAAGGCTAGAATAGTTCTTTCTGTACCAAATTACCTACTATTATTGGTTACTCCATTATTGAGATGCTGCTCTTTATTCCTTATGAAGTGTTCAGATACTGTATGAACTCACTCCACTGAAAAAGTTACTTTAGCTTGTAGTAAAAGTTTGGTGTTTACTTCGAAGTTGTATATCTGCCTGAGAGATGAAGAACCAGCAGTCTACATTTAAATGAGCCATATCTGTAAAATGGTCCTGCGGGCAAAACTCAAGTTCTACATTAAGACCAAAGTCCAGGAGTGGACGCACAACCAAAACTTTCCACCAGAGTATACAGCCAGTGAAGGTTAGGAAGAAGAAGAAATTCTGTGAGTTACAGTACAACTGCTTGAACCTAAGTTAAAGATTGATCAAATGACAATTTTTTCGGATAATTCATCTCTTAACTCTTTGAGTCCCAGGGGGTTTAGCATCACAGGCCCAAGGGGTAGTCAGCAAACACGTAAAACAGCACATCATGCATTCATTAGACCTCTTGGTAGGAATCTATGATGCATTCCTTGGGACTCAAAGAGTTAAGGATAGGAAACAGTTCTACAACACTGACATATCAGGCTTGAAAGTTATACACAGGCGATTTGAGGTGTGGCATCCGCCTCAAGTGCTGGATGTCCCGGGTTGAAACCTTGGTGAAGGCTGGGATTTTTCATTTGGACATCTAGTAATTTCTCCTGGTCTCTGGGTAGTAAGACCGGATGCCCGTGTGTATTGTTGCACACATTTTTGCAGCTGGAAAATAAAAAAGAGTAGCCTAACGGCACTGCCCGTGCAAAATTTAAAGTCGAAAATCTGCCCAAAGTGTATCAAGATCCTCGCTGATGCAACAGAGTTTGTGCACTGCGTTGAGATTCTTCAGAATGTTGATGTTGATACTTTGAATAAACAAACAGACAAATACATCAGCTAGTACACATTGGTTTACAAAGTCCTGTGAAGGATGTCTAACTAATGTAACATAATGTCTGTGAGTGAGTGATGCTCAACCCCACTGGAACCATACAAACACCCTGTGACACAAGGTGCCACCATTTGGATGAGAATCCTCCAAGTGTAAGTCAACCATTAGGTAATATTAGGGGCTCCGATGACAGCTAGGATGTTTCTTTTAAATAATAAAAAAGAATTGTTTGGGTCCTATATTGTGACAGACTTAGCTACTGTCTGTTAATCAGATTTCTGAAAGCTAATTGTGATGCTGTCACCTGTCAGGTTTCTGGCTGCTTAAATGTTAACCCTGTGTGTGTTATATTTGCAGGACCATGAGCTGGAGAAAGTGCCAGTTATTCATATTGCCGGTACCAAGGGCAAAGGTTCAACAAGTGCTTTCACTGAGAGCATTCTCCGCCACCATGGTTACCGCACTGGTCTGTTTACTTCACCACATATGTACCAGATAAGGGAGAGAATCTGCATCAATGGCCGACCAATCAGCAAGCAGAAGTTTTGCCACTATTTCTGGGATGTTTTCAGAAAATTTGAGGACTCAGTGGTAAGAGAAATATGTGTAACTTTTTTAATATTACCTTGAGTGTCTGTTTTTACATTTAACCTTTTCTATAACAAATTATCATTTACTTACTTTTAACTCAGCCGGCTGCAAAAGTACTGTCATAGTTATTACTTTAGCACCCTCTGTCCCAAATCGACATCCCTGCCTAGTCCTGACTTGACATTACATGGCAGCCGCCTGTGGCCCCATTTTAACCTTACAGCATTTGCTCCTGTAGGATTCTCATCCTTGAGGTGTTAACTCTTTGAGTCCCAGGGGGTTTAGCATCACAGGCCCAAGGGGTAGTGAATGGAGACATAATCAGGGCATCGCTTCCAATGTGGGCAGTCATTTCTCTTTATGAGTCAGTTTTTGTTTTTTCCCAAGACATCTTCACATTACTGTTTGCATCTGTTTTACCTTCAACCATTGACAAGTCCTCAGTAATCTCTGACACCGTTGCTATTTCGAAATAGGTCATTGTGACAGAAAGACTTAAATTGGGATACAGCCATCACATAGTAAGAAGATTTCAATTTGAGAAAGAAAGCATTTTAAATTGCTAACACTGAACTTCTAATTTTTTTTTCTCCATTGTTTTCTTTAGTATTTTAATTTATATTAATTGTTAAGATGTTGCTTTTGTACATGGTCATCAATATGTAGCTGAAAAGGTTTAGTTTTTGTACAATATGTGGCGTGATAAAATATTTGCATTGCATATAACTGTTGTTCTTACTGAGTCTCCGCTGCTTGAGCTTGCTTCAGCTATCAGGCTCTGTCTATCTATATTTATAGGTTAGTTGCGTATCGTTTACAGGGCGTTGCAGAACCAACCCCAACAGCCCCTGGCTGTTGTGTGGTTTTTCTAGGCAAATTTATGTCCTGTAGTTTGCTATTGCTTTCTGGACGGTCGGCTTTCTTAATACCACTGTCGAAACCAAGGCACATGGCCCACAGCTGGGATCAAACCCGGCATTAGAAAGCACTCACATCGACTTAGCCACAGAGCCGACATCTATAATTATACAACAGAGAATGTGGAAATCATCATTATTGAGGCAAGTTGGGATTTTATGGTTGTTGTAACATGTTGGAAACAAAGAGCTCAGTGGTTTTTCAGTAAAGGAAAAGTGAACAGTTGACAATCAAATAAATAATTTAGTATCAGAGTCATTGCACAGGTTATTTTTTTTTTTGCAGTCCCCGTAAATCGTCAGCTGGCATGTTGTGGGGTTCAGCTAGGTTGCAATATCTGCACCTTTCTGTCTGACAAATCCAATACAGACTCCTAATTAGTCAGCTTTTATGACAAGCATGTTAGATGGCAGTATAATATATCTAATCACTTTCTCTCCGAAAATGGGGTCCTCAAACCAACCGGATCCGATCCCACTTGGCAGATCATGTTTCTCTCTGTATGGCAGCTGGTCACCTACCAGGAGCAGTGCACAGAGCTCAGAACTCTGTAGGAACAGTATTTCCCTAATAACTACCTTCCTGAACAGAAGGACAAAGTATTTCAAACCAAACCAGTAACCTTCAGAGGATGTGAGGCAAGTGGCTTAGCCACAAAGCAGCACCCACCCGCTTGCCATATAAGTATGTCAAATATCAGAACATGTATCAGGCTACTTTCAGTTTCATCAGATAATGACATGGTGATAACATCTGAGGATAGGCTGGCCAAAGGGTTCAGAGTGCACGGCTCTCAGGCAGATTCAAATACTCGAGAAGTTTGGGGATATTTTTTTTGTCAAGGTAAAAATAAAAAAATCTGACATGCACACTCTGTGACGACTGCATTAGCCATGTGGCCCTAGGACTTCAAGCTCAAAGACACACACCCCCCCCCTCCCCAAACCTTAAATGCCTACACCATAAAAGTGCTAAATACATGCAGTTACATCTGACACATACATTGCAAATAGAATCAGAACGGCAAGGTTGACATTCAACAGTATGAAACACATGCATGCACTTGAATATCATAGAAACTAGAATCAGTACTCATCATGTGGTATTCATTTGAACACTTCTATCTGGGATGAAAACATTCACCCAAGGCAACAACAACAAATGTTTCAAACTACACACTAGAAAGGGGGCATTGGTAAGTTAAATAAAAAGAATTACAAGGTACTCATCACATTACACAGTTCAATTTTCACATCAGTTCTGTTTTTGTAGGCGTGTCCGTGCTGAAAAAAACCCCACTGTCGTCCGGTTTTATATAAATTTAGGAATTAGCTCAAGAATGAAATATACATTTATAGTTGTAACTGTAGATATTATTGGATTCAATAGTTTTCTAGACTTTTAGTGATTGAAATGTGTTGATGGTCATTTTCATTATAGTATTTTGTTCAGTGCAGTAAAAAATGACACTGTTTTGTTTATTTTTTTGGCAACAATGGTTGAGTTTTAATAAGATTAAGGAGTGAGTAATAAACTCTTTCACCCAGGTAACCTAAATGAAAAGGGAAGTGGGTTTACAATGTCTTGTTTGCGATGTCCAGTTTTCCCGCTCCAGATATTATAAGCACCCGACGACGAAACAATGTACTGGAAAACACAATAGAGGGTTACATTTAGGACAGAGAAATACATCAATTATTTACATGTAAATGACGAATGTTGAATTATGAATCGATACCGTAGCACTCGGGACACTCCCATAAGCGCTCCATGCCCATCTTCAGCGGCAAACGAAGAGTTCCAGTTCCGATCGAACCAGTGTCTGATTGTATATACATCTCACCTTTCCCTTGGATGTTGAGCATCGGTCAGATCCCCTGGCAACTCCTCGCAGCCACATTCTCCCCACACCGTAATGAACTGTTTTGGGTTTCCACACTGTTCACTCGCTCCCGGAGGGCCCTCACAACATCTAGCTTGTCATACATCAGTTCACCACCAAGTTGTTTAGAAATGTATATGAAGAGCTATGGATCAGTCCGATATACTGAATGCTCTATAAGAGGTGAGAATCAAGTAACAGCTGACATTAACTCCGTCTATAACCGTTGGATAGATCTATTTTGATTCGACGGATCAACATCATAGCATACGGAAGTAACCCATAAATGCTCCTTCGTACTTCTCATTTAAGCATGTGTATGACAAATCTTAGCGCTGTGCACGAACTCCGTTGCATCGGCGAGGGTCCTGAAATAGTTTTGTATATTTTTTTTTAACTCAAAATTTTGCCCGTGCAGCACCGTTAGACTACTCTTTTCGGTTTTCAACTGCCAAGGAATTTTTTTGCGTGCGCAATAAAACACTACTCAGAGACAGGGGAGATTACTACCAGAAGTCCACGTGAAAAAATGTCAGCCTTCACAGGGGCTTGAACCCAGGACCTCTAGCACTCGAGGCGGACAACATACCTCGAGACCACTCAGCCCCTCTTGGGTAGAAGAACAGCTAAAAACAACAGTAAACTACAAACAATCATTAACTGGTGCATGGATATAATCACCGTCTTCTGTTACCCCCAGTCGAGTAAGCCTTAAACCATTTCACGCTAAGTGGTTATATTATTTGCTATCGCATGTAACTCACCCCATCTCCTGTCTGTCTTATTAACATCACTATCTTCCCCTAGCTGCCGCCTCCATACATTTTTGTCTCTCTGTTTTTTTTAACCACGGGTTTCAGCGGCATTTAAAGTTGTATTGTTCTCATGTGTTCTCAATGTGTGTACTATCCAACACCAGCATGTTTTCCTCACCTCTTGACTTACCGGAATTGTCGTTCTCCCCGAAAGCTCTACATTAATGACTCTATCGTACCATTTTAGTCCCTTCATTCGGGTCGGGCACCAGTTAATGAATGTTTGTAGTTTACTACTAATTGTTTTAGCATGCTCAGAACAGAAAGAATGAATGGCAGAACCACAATTATAGAACTTAGTGCGAGAACTAAACAGTATACGAGGGCAGGACACTGATGCTGTTTAGTACACCCAGAGAATTCCCTTTACTGAAATCCACAATGGTCAGATGAATGAATGTTGAGAAAGAATAAAAAATAAAAAAAAACAGTAGTTGGGCCTTGGAATGAAATGGATATCGTTAAAAAAAAAACATTCTTGTCGGTTTCAGCCAGCTCATAGAATGAGCAGCGGCTTTATCCTGTTTGGGCCCTTGCTCTATTGGTGTTTAAAGGACGGGCTAAGAGAAGGGACCAGGGAAATATCAGTCGGTACATGAAACCACTTTTTTAGTCCCAGGCTGTTGCTATTTCACCGCATCCTTAGTCCGGCAGCTGTTGCTTCTAAGTAACTTGCTTTGGACAAATTGTTAATCGTGCTTCTGAAAGCTTAAAAACACCCACAGACACAAAGAATAATCTCGTGTGGATGTGTTGAACACATGTTTCTGTTTATTTTAAGCGTTGCCGGTTGCCACGTTTCATTCCCACCGAAACAACACACACGTAACGAACACCCTTAGCCCCATAGATTGAGAAAAGCACGTGTTTATAGTTTGTGCCGCCACAGATATGTTTACCCAACTTAAGCCGCTCTCCGTATCCCGGCCTGTAGTGTAATTTGGGAGCTCTCATTTCTCCACCCAGCCTAAAATATACCCCCAGATGTCGGAAGAAAAAGTCGATTTTGGGTGTGTACGTTACACTCAATTGATGAGTCCCGAAAATTCAGTTTGTTTTACTTGTGTACTGTTAAGGTTAATGTTAGTTGCGTATCCTTTACAGGACGTTGCCGAACCAACCCCAACAGCCCCTATATGGTTTTTCTAGGCAAATTTACGTCCAGTAGTTTGCCGTTGCTTCTTGACGGTCAGCTTTCTTGATACTACTGTCGAAACCAACGCAAGGCGCATGGCCCGCAGCTGGGATTAAACCCGGCATTACGAAGCGTTTGCATCGACTTAGCCACAGAGCCGTGTAATATGAAAGGAGCTGTTGTATGCAGTGCTTGATAAGTAACTATACATGAAGAGTATGTAAATTAAAGGAGACTTTGTTTCTCACAC